ATCTTTTGAAAATAGTCACAAAAAATATTTTTCAATCAGCAATGGTATTCACAATTAAGCGAATATAGGGTCTTCCCAGCGTCCAAGCCAGTTCAACAGGCTGCAATGTTTTGTGTTTAGGAAGTTCTTCATAGGAAACTCTTCGTTCCCTGATATATGTGCTTTGATCGAATACTACGTTCGAGAGCAGAAACCGGTCACCAACCAGTCAGGAGCGAAGCTGCTCTCGCCGGTGAGAAAGCAGAAATGGGAACTCAAAACATGATTGGGTAATTTCTGCCGAGCGATCCTATAATTGCTACTCAACCCGAGTAAATGGTTGACATATTGTACTCACAGATCAAACTGGACAAACTACTCGGTGAAGGCGCATTTGGGGGTGTCTACGCTGGGACTCTGACAACACCGGATTTCACCAGAAAGGTAAGATGCACTGTCTTTTTGAAAGTTTCACATTCGAAGGTGTAATATATTTACTCATAAAATAGTTCAAGATACAAACGAAAAGCCTCATCCCCCCCCCATCCCCTTGGAGTTAGGCATTTCTGCACACATCCGTTCTCCCTCCCCTCGTTCGCTCTACTTCTCAAACAACTGTCAGAAAGTTAGACCCTAACGATCAAGTGCCTCTTCCTCTACGAAGACCTTCCCTTCCACGCACCTTCTCCTGTTTTTCAAAATCCCACCCCTAGCTGCTACTCCTTTCCTGAGCCAAAGTGAGCAATCCCGCCAATTCGTCCCTGCCTTCTGTGGCTCCTGGGAGAAGAGCCCTGTGTTCATAGTCCAACAGCAAACGCAGTTTGTGAACAAGTGAAAGCAAACAAGTCGCCGATGATATTCACTAGAAAAACGTCCAGAAGTGAGAATTCGAAAGGGTCCCAAGGAAAGAACTAACGTATTTGCATTTTCGCATTGTATTCTTGCTGTGGAGAGCAATCAACAAGAGATAGTAGTGAAACGAAACTTATAAGAAATATTCGAATAATTAGACCATATGTCTAATAGTTTCGAATATTAGATTACATTTTTATTTTTAATTTGAATATAATATAGGAAAGCTGATAAAAATCACTTCGATAAATTTAAGGTGGCCGTCAAAGTTCACAAAGGGCGCACTGTCAGCAAGGAACAGATAGCGGAATTTGAAGGAAGCGAAGAAGTCATGGCGGACGCATATCGACACCCGAATGTTGTCAAGTTCTACGGTGTTGCTGTAGAGAAAGTAAGTTTGCAAACTCGTTCCGAATACTTCACTTTCCCAACTTATATGCGACTTGGAACTTTCTTCTGAAAGCGGCCGCTGCTATGCTAGAATACCGCTTTGCTAAGAAATGATTTAAAAATCACCGACGTAAATCCCAACAAAAAATTCCAGTAACTTCACTCTCTTCAAATTTTCTTTTCTTCCGCTTTTTTTGTTCTTCTGGTGAGCCTACAGATCGAAATAGGTTTCTAAATTCGGCCTTATGCTTATAAAGGTATGCGAGAATGATACTTATCAGCTTCTGAGTATTTGAATGAAAAAAGGAATCTGATTGACAATTGTCACTGAGGCGTTATGAGTGATCAATGTGAACTTCGAGGCATTCTAACGACTCCATTCTTCTATTGAACATACTTATGGAATTGCAACAGGCAGAGATGGGGCCAAGCTTGTGCCACCCAAAAATTGTGTACGAATGGCTTCAAATAGTACAAACTTGCAGGGCCATACACACTACAAAACAACTGCGTCCACCCCCCTTTGGCATTAACCTGTGCCTGCACACCGCCCGCATGTACTTCCTCTGTCCTTTCACCTTAACACAACGTTTCTCAAAGGCGATTTCACCATTAAAAACAGACCACTAGAAATCAAGGTAGAGGTGGTAGTGATCAGGGGTGAAGAAAAAACAAGATAACAGCCCGCAACACAAAAATGGGATCCCTTCTTGCCGCCTTTGCGTGTTCGGCGCGTCTCATCGACGGCCTCATGAACGCCAAGGCTTCCGGTGGAGCGGCTGGGTATGGCCCTGGCAGGCCTCTAGCTGCAGAGCCCGCTTCGCCCCGCATCCTCGAATAGCCCGCCAGTCTTTCAACAATACCAGGTCGAAGGACGGGCCAAGGGTGCGGGACGAGCAGGTTCTGTTGGCTGGTATATGTCCTCTTCTCGATCTTCGACCTTGCGCGGAATCCTCCGTTAAACTGTTCGTCTCCCACACTTCCCTGCCGTTCAGGAAAAAGGAAGAGGAGCCATACGCTCCCAAATACAGCTCATAGTAAGGGTATGGTCAGAGCAAAACTGGGACGAAAAGCTGCTTAACATAATACTTTCAATCTCATGCAGCCTCTTGCATGCTGGAACTTTATTATGATCACAATTAGCGCTTGAGTGAAAGTGCTAAGCCAGTTTCATGCGCTTGAATCGCGAAAAACTCGAAAACGTTTGCCACAGTAAACATTCACTTCGTATCGAAACTGGTTGGCAGAGAGTCACAAAAAGTTGATGTGTTTATCGTTTCGTTGAGAGTGCTCGAAGTTGGTGGACTGGTAGACCGGTGTGTAAACAAAGGACGGGAATTTCCGTCTGGAATCGTGGAAGAGTGTTTATTACAAAATTTCGGTCCGTAGAAGATTCCTATAACCGGCAAATCAAAGCTGAGCAAACGCCCTAACGTCCGTGTTTTATCCACTTGTGGTAAGCTGTCAAGGGCGTGATATAGACAGGGCAAAGGATGGCTACCTACGCTTTATCGGGACGCATATTTAGGGCAAATTCGCAGTTACCCGACTTTCCCAAACAGAAAAAAAGCTTTTATCCTCTCAAGCGGCAAATCGCACCAGCCCCCGATTCGAAAATAGAACTGCACCTTGAGTCAGAAGTGATCGCCTTGGACTTATCGCATTCAAATATGAATGCGACTTTGATTAATCGTCGAATTCCTGGCGCATCTTGAAAAGGGCTTGGTCCTCCCTCCCTTTTTGTGCTTTCTGCTACCAATCGAAGGTTAATAGTGCTGACTGAATGGTCAAGCTCACTGACATGAGATGATGTTTTCTCTTCTAATGACAGAAAAAACAGCCAGGACCTTAAAAATGAAAAGAACAGATCAGTACAAACTGTTCAACGGAACGTTTGAGATCGCGGGCGACCAAGACATTTGCACTAATAAATTACGACAGTCATCGAATATGAAGCTGACTGGTCAGTTCGAATAGTGCCAGAAACAAAACATGCAACGTGGTCTCACTTTGAAGAGTTCTTCTACTGCAAAGACGGCCGCGTGGCTCAAGCGGGTTTCATCACCGAAAATACCAGGATCGTTGCCCGCCGCCCCGTTGATAGGAACGCGTAGGCAAGCTGAAACTATCTGTGTTTCCTTCACATGAAACAACTTCAGCCCAAAAATTCGCAACACTAAATGAATTGAAAGCAGTCACGCCATCCGTACAGAGCAGACGACAGTGGACAAGAGATAAGACGGACAATTCACAGAGTCTCATTCAGCGCAGTCAGGTCAATCTTGGTCGTGCGCCAAATCAGAGTGAACCCGTTCCGTTGGTACGACGTAAACCAGGGATCTGATATTCAGGATTTTTGGAGGGTTCGCATCTGGTGTTGAAACTGAGGGTCAAAGTATTCGAATAAAAGGCAAGGAGCTTGGTAGTTGTGGATGATGGCGGGTCCCTGCGTAGCGGGAGATGCGGAGAGATCCGTTTAGACGGGCTTTTTGCGCCCCTCCAGTGATGGGATTGTAGGGAGTTGTATCGTTGGATGACCTCCCAAAGTGGAGGGTGAGAGAGGGAGGGGTACGGCTCGTGCTATCGAGGGCCATTGGGGAGAGTGGGTAGAATTTCAGAAATAAATACTAGCTTCACAAGTTCACCCGCCCATTGCACCCGCGACAATTACACCTGTGGACGGTTGGATGGGAGAAAGAGAGACGCGCTAGTGTACCCGCAATCAAGAACCTGAATTGCTGCGTCCCAACACAATATACTGCCCCCTGCACCGCAGCCCCGATCGTTAAGAAAGCGCTCAACCGGGAAATAAGCCGACTTGACTCTCCGTGAAAGAAGTGTCATATTAAAGACACCGCATTGCACGAGTGGCAATGGGACGACGTTTTTTCAGAGTGAGGAATTCTCTTTGAAGAACGTAGAAATTCGTATAGATGTTCATGCTATACGAATTTATCGTCGGCTGTACAATACCGCCACTAACTTTTGAAATTTCTCCGCTGAGCGACGGATTTGCAGCGTCGCAAAGCGTCGCCCCTTCATAACTCCCCCCAAAGCGGGTCAAATGATTGGTGCTCTACACCATTGGACTCGTCTCTCTGTGGCGAGTCTAACCATGTGGAAAACTACGGTACTCGCCGTAAAATCGAAAAAAAACACGCGAAAAACGCGAAATTCGCGTTTCTTTTTCGTTTTTTCGTTATAACTCGCTTCAGATCTTATGCGCCTTTGCTGTAACTGTCAAATGTACAGTAAGCGATTTTTTGAAGTGTGCTACGACTTGTTTATACTAGCAATCACTACATTTTGTTGTGGTCGCGTCCCAGTAAAGAGAATTGTGCCGATTGATCGGTACAAATCCGCCCTAACTTGAGAGTTGTAATCGCCCCGCTCTCTCGCACAAACTCGCACCTTCCCCCTGTGAAGAGCACACCCAGCATTCGCATTTTCACATACTCAAACAGTCAGGGAGCCAGCTGATCATTCTTCTGAGGCGGCGGTTTCCACAAGAACCTAGCGAAAGCGGTGGCTCTTACCTCGGCCCCCTTCAAGAAACCGCGTCAATTTGGGCACTTGGTGTCAAGGCGCTGCTCTGTGGAAGTTGCGCCTTTCGCCCCGATTGCCCTCAAAGCAACAGCTGCAATTGTACTAGGACACCCTTTTTGGAGACCTTAGAATCGGTACACATAGCTCCGCTGTAAATATAATGCATGCACAAACTGTACAGAACAACTTCCGCCATAGTTCATCAGAAATGTCATTTAATTCAGGAACCAGTTATGCTTGTAATGGAGCTAGTGGACGGCGGTTCACTTGATAGTGTACTGCAAAAAAGTCAAGACGACATTCCACTGAATGATCTTGTGAGTAGAATTCCTACAAGGACATCATTTGAAGTCAATCCTGGCGACGTTATTCCTTCAATTCAGTTACGGTATGCCTTTGGGGCTGCTAAAGGGCTCGAATATCTGCACGATAATGACTGCATTCATAGAGATGTAGCAGCAAGGTACATAGAATTTCGTTTTCTAACTTACAATAGAACGCATTAAGAAAAAAACCGAAATGGCTCTATGAGCGCGAGGGACTGGTCTCACATTTCGGGCCACCTGCCATTGCAGAATGTGATAAATTAGTGACTGTCCGTGCTCCTATAAAGTCAGTTTCCACAAAAGCTCACTAAGGTGGTCAGAAATGCGAGGGCAGCCGGAAGCTACAGAGAAAACCGATTTATAAGTAGTTTCAACTTGTGTCTGAATTTCGCGAGATTCTGTTGCCCTTATTTAGGAACTGCTTAGTGAACGGAGGCGATGTGAAAATTAGCGACTTCGGGTTATCACATAGCCTATCGAATCGAGAAAAGCACTATAAGCTCAAGGTAGGAATTACAATAACCTGTGGGAATGGTGCCCCGGTAGCGTAGAGCTTTTTTGAGAAATATTACTCCCAAACCATAGACGCGGTAAACCGGGCTCAGTTCAGCAATCTGGAACCAACAGGAACTTGTTATCAGCCGCGACCTCGAGACTTCTTCATCAGGAGAACTGAAATTAGCCCACTCCTGAAAATGTAGTCAGCTCTCTGCCGAAGACCTGGGAAAGTCACGGCAGTGGACTACCACGTTCTCAGGCCCCTGGCGAGGAGCTGTTTACATGTTTACAGAAGGGTCCAGCCAAATAGGGAAAGAAAAATAACTTGGTTGCAAGAGAATTTCAAAAAGTTGAGATGACGCTAACTCCACGCCTTTCTGAGAAAACCTGCAGCCGACGGTACGTAAGGGCGAAACCAGGAACCGTAAGCGTGCTAAATCTGAGGCCCACGAGGGAATAAGCCTGCGTAATCAACTGATTGGAGGCTTTTAACCAAACTTTTCATGGTGATACATCAATATTTCTGCCAATCTCAAAATCTGTCTACGTAGGATATGAACCAACGCTTACCAATCCGATGGCTCGCTCCAGAAGTTCTCTCGACGGCGACATATTCGACAAAAAGCGATGTGTTCTCCTATGGAGTGCTGCTTTGGGAGGTGAGCTGATTGAGAGCTGTTCTCCAGAATGCCACGCAACGTGAAGATTATCGGGTGCCAAATTCAATGCACTACATGATCGCCTCTTTGATCAGGTGTCTGTAATGAGCGAATACCATATCGATACAAAGAAAAGAAAAAAGTAGAATATGAAAAAGATTATTGAACCTGAGGTAGTAAAAGCAGAGCAATGAATTGTTCCACATCGGCTCAATTCACAAATGGAGTTATGCCAGTTCGATCAATGATGCCCAAATTATGGTAGTCACGGAACTATGCCGAATTTTGCAGTGGGTTCTACCGAACACTTTTTTGTGACCCCGTGCAATCAAGTGCTGATCTCGCAGCACTCGCCTGAAATTCATCAAAAGCATCCCGAAGCGTGGTTCAATTACCTTCCGCTTCCTCTCTTCAGCTGCATATCCACTTTGCGTGGCCACACCTACGCCAGAGGCATTCATTAACTTACTCTGCTGGCACGGCTAATAAAAATAGTATATAGGATACTTCATCATTCACTATCCCTCTTTTAGGTATATCCCACGACGGATCTTGCCGTACAAGACCATGAACACTTCCAAGTTCGAGACTCAGCGTAAATCCATTAGCTCGCTGAACTGTCGTTTCATACTGCTTCATAAAGAAGTTGCTTGAAATTAGAACCATTTCAAGGGCCATCTCATAGCACAGATGGCAGCCTGTGGGGGGGGGGTAGATAGACCGTACTCCAAGCGCTCTGGTTTGTGCAAAATTGTGAATAACTTAAGCGTGGGCGTTGGAATCCGCGTGTGCTCCTCGACCTCCGCCTTCTGCTGATTCACACGCTTCCCTGCACCCTGCTCGCTTTCTCAATGTCTCTCTGCCTCTGTCGAAGTCTGCGCACTCACCACTTCCTTGATGCTTCTTCCCATAAAAGTCGCCGCCCAATAAGCAAACAATACTCCCACTTCCTTGATGGCTTCTTTGCCGAACTGAAACGTTTCTCCATCCTTTCTCTTCGGTGCAATCAACTCGGGATGTTGCTTACCACACGCAAAAATCATGATTCTTCAATAGTGGAATGCGCCCGTTAATGGCTTCAGGAGCTCCGCAAATAAGTCAGCGAAGTTCTGTGGCTTCAAGGATGTGCAGCTTATCATCGCACGCCTGATCCGATGCCTAGCAAATACCGCTCGTGGCCATCATATCAGTGCTCGCCTTGATATGATAATTGCAACCACTGCCCATAAAATCAGCTTCAATGTGCTCGTCTGTAAAAAAAATCAAAGAAAAGACCGAAAAGTCCGAGAGCATGGATGCTATTCCGTCAATTTAAATTCCGAAGTCGCCCAAGCTTAATCGCTGGTTACGAGGCCGTCGCAGTGAAAAGCAACTGTCTGCCCCGAAGCACAGGTGCAACCCACTCAAAGGCGGTTTTACGACGAAAAGGCGACTCATTGGATTAAGCAAGATGCTAAGTGATATCGTCACGAAAGAAAGCTTGCCCGTGATACCGCATGTGCGACTCTCATCGGCTGCTGCTTCAACGCTAACCCGTTTTCAACTAACACATTGCTAGAGACCTTTCCGCGGGCTAACGCCTCCGTCGCCCCTGGCCCGCCAGGGTCAAGCGAGGCGTTGAGGAAAATTTGGAAATACGACCCCCCCCCCACCACCCTCCGCCGGAGGCCGAAGTCCATGAAACAACCCTCTTCAAAAGCCGAACTATGAAAAGGTTGAAAAGCTTGTTTAATTCTCCCCCAAAACTGCTCATAAAAAAGCCCTGCTACCCCACCGCCCACAAAAAAATTCGTTTAAGAAGTACAAAAGTGAAAAAGTCAAAGAATAATCATTATTGATGAGTCCTACCAAACGAGCAAACGAGAAACAGACCAGAAAACGACAAACTAGCCACTAAAAATGGCATACCATGACAACATCTGTTCTTTATTTATTTCCTCCACAAGACTTACCAAATTCTAGTACTACACAGATTGTGGTTCTCAATTTGCACGTAGCCCTTCAGTTGAAAGAAGCTTTTTAACCGCCTTCGCCAGCTGTGTGTTGACTGGACTTTGGCGTTGACCGTGGAGCAGCTTATTTACTATTGAAATTTGAACAAATATTCAAATGATCATAACTTTCTTCAAAGTTAACGAATTTTCAATCTGAAAGCTGATTTGGGAGTTTTGTGAAGAGCTTTTTCTAATCAGTACTGAAATTACAGGAAGTTATAAGAAATAACAAATTTAGATCAAATAACGAGGAAAATTCGAGACGAGCACGAGTTTTTACACTTTCCGAAGCAACAACTTGCTTCATTTTCGTCAAATTCGAAAAGTTAATATGGCAGGCAAAACTAGAGATTTTCTCTACCAAACCATTGCTAAAGCGCAGCTTCTATACGTCCAGTATTCGAAAAATGCCCACGTTGAGGATTTTTGCAAAATTAACGAGGAAAATTTGTGATGAGTGCGAGTTTTTTTACTTCCTAAAGCCATAACTCCGTTCAAACTCATCCAATCCGAAAAGTAAATACGCCATCATAAACTAGAAGATTTGCTCTATCAAATCAAATTACTAGAACTGCTCCAAACGTCCAGTATTAAAAAAACGGCTACGTTGAGGATTTTCGCACGAGTACCGCCGAAAGGTACTTTTTCGCTACATTGGCACTATTTCAACGGCTGTATATCCTTTTAAGGGCGATTATGTACTAAAGTAAGAGCAGATTTGGAATCATTGCTTTTCTCTTTCTAAGAAAAGTGATTGATTAGCGTTTCTCAACTTTAAAGGTTACATGTTTATAAATTTAACCCTGAAGAGTCCGTTAACGCAATGTTGAATGGTGTACACCTCCCTGTAAATGCGCACGGACACTTTTCAGAATTCTCTCGATTGTTCTCTGAATTGAGGTTGTTTGTCCAAGGAGCCGTAGTTGGAGCGCGCGCAACAACTAGACCCTTTCTCGGATGCGCCGTGTACCTCACATCCCTTCCGATTCGGGGGGCCGCGTCTACCTTGAAACGATGAATATCTTCTTGGAAAGCTGCGAAACATTCGGATTCTTTAACTTGTGTGGTGATAAAACACTGAAGTAACTAACTAAGAATTACCGGACGCCTCAGAATCACGAAAATTTTGTGTGGGTGAAATATCATTTTCATTGGAAATCCTCTGGCCTGGCATCGACTCATCCTTGATATTTGTCTTCCGACGGTGATGATCCCACTGCATCAAAATGGCTCGATCTCTTCCACCCAGCGGGCCAATACGACCCCCCCCCCTGCGACGTGTCGAGGATTCCTCAACGCACGCGCTTGACCTGCTGGTGACGGGGCCCACCAGCGGTCCACATCGTGCGTTGCACTGTTCTAACGAGGAAGTCGCATTGCTAAGTGAATTGTGGGCCCGCGGGCCGTCGCAATCAGCGGGTTGACTTGGACCTAGTATTCGTTGATTGAAGGGTTTAAGCAGCCTGTTTTTTGAGTAAATTTGTGCGGTTTCATATGCCCCTCATTCCTTTAACCGCCGGATGCCTTCTCGAGCAATAGTGGTAGTGGGCGAAGTTGGCGTTTGCTGCTGTCGATCTGGTCTCGAGAATAAATCAGATATGAAGGACAGCCATGATGGCGGAGCGATGGCGGCGGGGAAGGGTAGGCATCGTAATTGGGGGAGCTTCCTCTAGCTCATAGTGTGATGGGTCGCTCGAGACCCCGCCCCTAAGGATGGAGGTCCGCCGAAAATTTTCGGAAAAAGTGGCGAACGTCACCTGAACCCTTGGCGCCAACAAGCGCTGTAGGGAAGGCCATGTCAGATCGCCGATGCACATCCTTAATGCGAATTGTTTTTCGGTTCGCATCGTAGAAAGTACCCGATCCTGTCCCTTCCACTAGATAGTTCCACTGTCTTCGGACCTTCTCGCCTTGTCGTGGAGTCCCTGAGGAGGAATTTCGAAGTTAACAGCTCTAACTTTTGCACAACTTCGCACTCGCCAAATGTAGTCCTAACCGCGCGCCGGTGAGGGGGTGCGTGTACTGACCCGGGGGCGGTCTGCACAGCGGGGGGACTGTGTCTCTGAACCCGGAGAAGACGAAGGACGCTTCGCCGTTCTCCACGTTGAGAGCGACGAATATCGACGTGCAAGCAGCGTCACTGTTCAGTCCCATCTATTGTAGGCCCTTCACCACTTCCGCGCCATATCCATCTTCCTCTTTCCATGCACAATTTAACCGCGATTTTTTCTCATAATGTCAACAGATGCACATAGGCTTACCTCTTGCGTAGACTTGTAACGTATCTGAATGGATGACAGGATCTCACCGCAAGCAATCCACGCATCTCGCTGCCGTTCTCCCTGTTCACTGCTTTCGTGTTCTTAAGAATGTATCAACTTCGCGCACAAGCGCATGCCCTCCTTTCCCGAGAACGAACGAGTCAGCCTAGGTTTAGCACACCCGCCAGCTTGTGTGAGACAAGCACAGAGCCCCAGCTTCACCGAGTATGAGACCTCAATTCAGTACCACATTGACTTCATGATTTTTCAGGTGCTTGCAGGCTACCGTTTAGCAGCTCCGTATAAAATGCCCAAGTATATACGCATAATCATGCATGATCACTGCTTTCCAACACTTCTATGACGTTTGACCAATGTCTCCCGTAAACTCAAAAAGGATCAAATCGCAACCTAGGCCTTTTTCAGAAACCAACCCACCTCATAAATACCGCCTACAGTAAAATTAGCTACAGCCGCCGTTCCTCACTCCCAAATTTTCTCCGCGATGACGCATGCCCAATGTTCGCTCTGTCCCATCACTTCCTATCGATCTTAAGTCTGTGGTAACAGTTAGCGGGTCCAATGACAGCGCGGTCGCTAACGTCGCGACGGTACGCACCCGGGTCAATGCGCCTGACGAACTGCCGCCGAGTTGGCACCGTCTTGACATTGCTCCAGTACTCCCGAAATGATCAAGACTACGTATCCGTCGCTATTTCTGAAGAAAAGACACGACCTCGCCACGCATGAAGCTAGAATAACTTAAACAAAGCAGACTAGATCGACACACATAGCTATGGAAACAAACGGATTAGTGACAAGAATGACGTACAAAACGTCCCTAATAGACTTGACGTAACTCTGTGCCAACAACTATGCGCAGTAGGTACTCGACTCACACGCCACCACCGAAGCTGCAAGCTTCCGCGAAGTTACCCATCTGTGACTTGTGTTTGAGAGAGAAGCCTCTGAGGCTGGTCTCGGCTGCCTAAAAACTGGAAAGTGAAAATCACTAAAGCACGCTGAACAGTCAGAAGAGAGCAGGGAGATGACTTGTCCTGGTGGCTGCTTTGGGCGCAGAAAAAGTGGTGGCATTGCATCGGTCAAACGTCGTCCTTAGAGTCAAATGCTGTAAAACAGCCATGACTTTCAAGATGCTGTGGCATAGGGGAAGGGCATGTATAGGGCATTCCCGTGAGTCCGATGGTGGTAGTGAGCGGCTAATGACATTTAGAGGGGACGCGTCAATTTTTTAAAAGCCGCGCGAGACGGTCGACTCTGGCATGGCACAAAACAGCGTGAAGTCACGGAACAAACAAAGGCTCACACTTCAATTCAAAGCCAAGCTACGTTAGATCGATCCTCCCGATAAATATGTATAAATCTTGAGTCTCGGAGCTTTTTCAGATCCGGCAGACCATCGAAGGTTTGCTAGATAAACATAAGCTTCCTGGCTACGAAACGCTGTGGACCAATGAAACGACTTGGGACTGTGTGAAGTATAAAAATCCATCCCCATTCCTCCGTAAACCAAAATGGAACTACCATAATTACACGCTTCCCCGAAAATAAATTCAATTTATCAGTGATCTTATATGTAACTTGCAACACGTATAACAAAGAAGACACGCAAAAGAATGGTAGACAATACCATACCAGCGCCATAATCTAAGCACCAGCTAAATTTTCTCGCGCATTCACATTTGCCAGTGTAAGAGGATTGAGCGTATCATTCTGTACACTGCGATATTTTCTGTGATAAAGCTTCCCGCACTAAGGAATGGCGCTCATCCGTTTGGCGTTGCATCCCTCTTATTACCGACTCGAGCGACCCACGTCGTACGTTCCCGCCCCTTGTAAATACGCCGTACCAACCTTCCCTTACCCAATTCTGTTCTTTGGAGAAGCCCTAACCGTCACTACAGCAGTGAAGTGCGCCGATACGTTCATCATAAGAGTAGCCCCATCCACGAAGGTACCATACAGCGTAGAAAAGGCCCTATCGTGAACTATAATGTGCCCTCGAGTGTCGATGAAACAGCAGAACTTCTCAGACGCAGCATCTAAACTAATTAATACGTCTCAGAATTAATCTTTGAAAGAAACCAGTTGTGTGTTAAATCGCGCGTTTCAGTCGCGCGAATGTTCCGCCGACTATGAACGAGACCTTAGAGCTGTGAAACTTCTGAGATCATGCCTCAGGGCATTGCCTTAGCACCAATACGTTTCGGATAGGCCGAATTAGCTTACCTAAATGGACCGTTTACACAGGCAGGCTTATCCTCAATGAATTTCGACTATGCCCCCACCCCTCCTTTCAAAGAACTTCAGTATTTCCTTCAGCTCTAGAGCTTCCCTGAATTCCACCAGCATTTCTGAAGCCTCTCAGGAGAACCTTTCCATTTTCCTATTCTTACCCAGTACCACCTATACCCTTATGATCCCCCCCCCCCCAGAATTTTAAGGCACGATCCCCACCTGACGCGAGCAGACAGAGCTTCGCTCGATCCTGTTCTCCTCAAGGCATTCAGTTGTCCTTGCATATCTACTAAGACAGCCAACTCCCTTCCTCCGTTTATTTTCTCATTGCCCGAAGGAACGTACTCATTTGCCCAAGAGGTGGTCTAGCATTAGGAAACGATCACTAGACCACCTCTTGCAATGATATTACTGCCATTGCTGGAGTTCGTCCCGAGGTTGAGGTAACCACACATGGGTGATAGAGCTCCGTTTCTTGGTATGATGGTGACACTTTTGGTGCGATTGAACGCCAAATCGTAGAGTGCGCAACTCAATTTCGACTCCACAAATGACACCCGAACCAGCGCTGACTTGACACACGACTTCTGTAGGGCGTCAAGTAAGCGCTGATTTGGGTGTTATTTTGCTCCTAGCAATTTCAAAGTACAAACACAACACTTGGGATCTCATACAAGCGAACAGGTCCGCCCTTCAAGGCTAATGTCAAACTTTGCGAATTGAGGGATTTGCTAGCGTCCGCGGTCGGGTTGCGGCATCAGTCAATCGAGTGATTCGCTGGCCGCTGCGATCGCGCGACGCTAGCGAATCGCTCGATTCGCAGTCTGACATCGGCCTGAGAAGCTGTACCCTTGCACCTGCACTTGATCCGTATGTTTTATAGTAGTTCAGGCAAAGTGAGCTCTTCCTTCGACACTAGAATATTGGTGACGGACAGATGTCCCAATAATATTGTGTAGCACAACTGAGCACTCATTGTCAGATAAATATACTTTTAGAAAGTCAAATGTCCGGCGTACCTGGTGCTAGATCGTCCTTGAATCGTTTACGTCAAAGGACCTTACATTCACTTAGCTGCACCTGACGTGACTGCACGCACCCGTGCTCTGACAAACGTTTCATTTTTCTTTTTTGAAGGGAAAGTCTCTGATATCTTCTCCTGATAATTCGATAAGAACAGTCAAGGACAACTTCGACAAAGACAAATCACTAAGATAGAATTCTTTAATTAATTAAACTAAGTTTACTGACACGTAATAGTGCAAATGGATGAGTAATCTGCTAAGACACGACAAACACCTCTCAACTGCGATCACAAGCCTTTGTTGTAATAGACGATTTCTGGAGGATTTTTAAGCGCGGCAATCTTCTTCTGCAGTTCCGGCTCAAGATATTTCACCTGCAACACAGACATGGAGGCACGAAGTATTTCGAGAAAATTCAAATCAAATTTCTTAAGCAAAAATTAGTATTGACGTGATGAAACTTGAAGGCGTAGCTAGAAAGCCGAACACGCTGTGCAAGTAGTTTGATGTTGGGATCCAATCATCCAAACAGAGGCGTTGTGGGTGGCCATGGGTGATTGGCAGCTCGTCAGTACGTCGTGGTAGGACTTTGAAACGAGCGTGGCACGCAAAACTCGCGGCAAATTTCGATGATGACTTACGGGTGAACAAAAGTTTCTTTCCGTGAAGTGCGTCTCACACCAATTGAAGGTTCTGGTTACCCAGACTACCGGCAGAACCCTAGCCAAAAGAAGGGTAGAGGCCTATCCACATCTCCATGACAAGAAGCAAAAATGCGACCTCGCCATTCTTTTTGTGCACTAATCCATCATGTTGGGAGTCCTATGCCAGCTCCATGTTAGGGTTTCCATTCATGTTGGAGCGAATAAATGCTTGCCTCCGAGTCGTGGCGTCCGATTTCATGGCTGGATAATGGATCCATGGATGGTGACTATCTCAAAGTTAGATCAAAATCAGGGTGTTCCTAAAATTTGCTTATAGGGGTATGTGGGAGCCCTTACAACAAACATGACATTCACTTTGGCGCTGGTTCCATATGACCCCAGAAGTTTATTCGCTGAAATCTTACTAAAAAAACTGATCTTTCAGATCTTAGAAATGATATCCGTTTTGGCGCCATTTGTGCTCTCTTCGAATAGAACCCCCTACTAGATATAAAGCACGGTGTTCAACAGCTTGCGCACTAACGGGAACCACGAACTGCACTCTGCTTCCATCATTGCCCCAGCGACACTGATTGCGTGGAGAATAGCTTGCATGCTAATTTGCCAACTCTGGACGCTCACAACTCGCTTGGAAAACTCAGCTGGCAGTTTGTCTCCATATTTGGAATCATCATTTGAAGTGTCGTCAAATTGGTCTCCTTTCAAGTTCTATGAGAATTTGAAACCGTTCTCTCGGCAAAACTACAAAACGGCGATGTTGCGGTTTTGCTAGTCATATTCCAAAACATACTCGATATCGGGTGAGTGGGGTGGGCGTGTCACCGAAAGCGAACGTGCACTTGATAGAAACTATGTGGATACGCTGCTGCGAAACATACATTCGCTGGCTATCAGCAAAGCATGCTGGCAACAACTTATCCACGCACTTCTATCCACCTCCCACCCGACCCCAAATTTCGGATTTCGCCTGTAAGCCTTTCGTGAATTGTATGATGATTTTTTGGTAATTGCACTGTGGTAATTAGTAGGAAACATTACCAGTACGAAACTCTAAGACACTAAATACAAAACAACTTACCGAAACAGGTGTTTTCTGAGGGAACAGTGCACAACACAGTGGTGTCGAAGAACGTCAAGAAAAAGCCAAGCAAAAGTGTTTGTATGGGCGCAGCCATCCATGGCTAAAAAAACGAGTAGTAATGTGCATGTAAATTCACCATAAAAAGTATATGCATGAGAAACATCAACCAGATAAAATTTGCGGTCCCGTATTTTGTATCCAAAAACACGTTAAACATAGGAAAGTGGTACGAGGAAGTTAAACTGAAACCCCTTGAAATTCGAAAACGTTTTGACACTTCACTACCTACGCACGAAATTACGAACAATGCTTTGCTAGAATGATTATAAGGCTCCAGGGCCCTCGACAAGGGATTTAAACCGCAGCTACGGATGTGCGAAGAAATTTACAAGTGCTGCGCTGCTATAGGTCCACGCAGGAATTCATGACCGTTGCTTTGCAAGTACGGGGCGGTAAGAGGCGAGTAATACTTTCATTGAACTACTGGTGACCATATTAATTATTGATGTTTCATATATTACAAACTACGAGAAACTGCAATATGACGAAGAGCTTAACCAAACGATGATGAAAACCAAACTCCAAAACTGTCAGTACTTACCTTATACGATCGCATTTTCATGCATCTTTGGAAAATTATTGGAACGAGCACTGAAATAAAATTTGTAGACACATAGCGATGCAAAATGAAAACATCGTAAGGAGGGCAGAAATCTGAAGTGGAAATGAAGAACAGGTGGGCTTTTCAATCTCACGCGATGTCCAACAAAATCTTTACAGTATGACGTCAAGCGAATAGAAACGGTGTTTGCTTGATCAGTGCGCATGCGGCCTAACAAGACTGTCAGATTACTTCGTTAGAGGGTGAGAATATGACAGTTCAAAAACCAGAGCACTTAGAGACAGCAGCTTTCAAAACTCACCCATTCCTGGAGTGGCCATGATAATTCGACTGATCGTTACTTGTGGAATGGCTCTATAAGGTACGTTGAGTGACGATCCTAGTACTTCGCCATTTTTATCGCTCCGACCAGGATTCCAACGACAAACCCTGAAATCACATTAGTGGAATGGAACGTAGCGGCATCTCCAGAATGAGTAAAAAGATGAAAGCACAAAGTTTGTTTCTATAAGGTTTTCAGCCAAAAGAGATGTGATGTGTATCGGTTTCTCAGCCGAGAATTTCTTGCTAGTTATCTCGTTTTACTAGTTTTTACGACTTATTCCTACTGTCTTTTTCTACCTCAGCTGTAGTGGAGCTAATACTTACATATACACAATAGGGGGCAAATTACCGCTGCTCTTATACTTTGTTACCATTTTGACTTGTTTTTATTGGATAACTGCTGTTTTACGCCGCAGTTCGCGTTGCGAAAGTTATCACAAGAATGCTGAGTTGTGGGCAAAACTTTCGCCCCAGCCGGGATTCGTACCCGGATCTCTTGCTTTCCGGGCAATTGTGCTACCAGTTACACCACCGGGCCGAAGCTGAGTTGGGGTGAAATGGTGCCCCGGTGGTGTAACTGGTAGCACAATTGCCCGGAAAGCAAGAGATCCGGGTACGAATCCCGGCTGGGGCGAAAGTTTTGCCCACAACTCAGCATTCTTGTGATAACTTTGCATATATTTCGCCGTAAATAAAAGTTCCACTACAAGTCTTGAAAAATGTGTTGTTACAAATATGACATTCTTACATGATAGCTGTTTCGGAAGAATAGGCTTCAATAGTTTCACTCCGACAATAATTTCCCAGAGGTTGCCATTCGCTCTCGGGCAGATTGGCACATACGCTGGCATCCCAGGCTCGCCATTGTGAAACTGCCAGACGGTGACAGAAGGAGTAACGTGCCCCCCTCCACGAACCCGAGTTCACACACGACACCAAAAACGGTAAAAGACTGAACTGAAACTAAATTGACAAAGTCAGCGGCACTTATCCGAATGTGCTCCATTACAAGTCCTGCGCCCCATCAACAAAAACATGATCGATAACAGCGACGTCGCGCGCACATTGGGTCGGCTGCGTTCACCGCGGCGCTCACCGTGGCCACGCCCAAACTCGTGAAGGGGGAGCCGATTATTCATTGCCACGCCTTATTACTAACCATGATCAGCATTTCCTAGTCACACTAACCCAAGGGAGAATTGGCTGTAGCGGCCCAGTCGAGCCTTTTTTATTACCAACGCGCGGGCAGGGGGAGAATCCTGGACGCGTGCGAATGTACAAACCCCCGAGTCCCCCCCTTTCGGGGTCGATCAATGGAACCAAGACCCAGTTGGAAGAACTAATGACCTATACCTCGGCGGTCCTCGCAAGTCCCTTGTATATGGTCATAATACATTCAAAAGCCACCAGTTCTTGTAACGGAGTGTACCTCTGTTGACTCACCGACGTTTTAGCCCAAACCGCGAAAACAGTCTACCCAGACCCGTTATCTTTAAATTTTAGACCCCTTATCACGCAAGGGTATTTGACGTTAAAAAAAATTCACAAAAAAAACCGAGATAACGCAAAACAAGGTTGTCTGTATTGAAAAAGCTACCGCCCAATAGAAAAAAAAAGAAAAAAAACTGACTTGCTTCTCATCATTGGGATATTTATGGCGTTTGCAGCAGCTACAGCTAAGAATGGAACCAGCGCCCCGACGAGTCTTGGCACATTCTGCAAGAAAATGACTACTATTTCTGCCAAGATTTGCGAGGAAAAAAATGACCGCCTTGCAATTAAATGCACCAATGCTGTTAAAAAAACAAGTTTTCTACAAGATCAAATGACGACCTTACCTTCATTTTTGCTAACACTCGGTTAGCCCCAAGAGCTGCTGCCCATTGCTCCACCTGTAAGCAGCGAACATACTGAAGCCCAAAAGACGTTCCGAATGAAATCTATGCATATCGGAATTACGAAATTTAAAGGACCAGTCAAACCAACGACTTCTTCCCACAACAGCTCAGAGTGAATACATGATTATAGAAAGCAAAAAACGATAAGATTTAACGTAACGTTTACACTTACCGGATTAGGCCCACTGCGGTTTGTGTAGTTTAACCACTGCGTTGAATGTCTGGTTAATCCATTGAAAGAACACAACATGTGCAGTCCTTTAAACAGGCATAAATTCGTCGCATATCACAACTCCTTCTCATGCCTAAAGTACAATCCTCGACCACTTCTTCGCACGCCCTGGCCCTTTCCTGACAGAATCACCGCCTTTTGACTTGGACTCTCATGATTCTGACAGCTCTCTGCAGCTTATTCGTCACTTCTCACCGTACTCCTCTTTTCTATACACCCACTAATACTAGGCAAATACCATCTTTTCTACATTCATTAATAATTCATAAATACACGAAAATGCAAACAATAGGCGCGTTCAAACTTAGATGAGTATGTGACTGTGCAGTGTTTTCAATTATTTTATGCGTAATAAGTCTTGGCGTTTCATTGTCTGTTCGAAGCGCTCTCTACACTCACTTGACCACCTACCAAAACTCCTTTCTACTCTCCTAACCAAATCTCTTTCTACTCTCCTAACCAAACTCCTTCTACGTCTATCTACAATTTCTAGTACAAGTATTGCTGTGTCCTGTTCAGAGTGAAGATCCAGCCTCGTTACCAAGCTGAATTTGACAGCAATATACCACCGACTCTGGCTGGGCATCATCCCGATTCTGGCTGGCCAGCGTCAGCCCTCGCGTTTGTATTTTTCAAGTAAATTAGGGCTTCGCCCTTGAAGGAGCAGAAAAGGTGGTGTGATGGTTCGACACTACCCTCCACCATCACCACCACCTTTAAGAGCTCCGTAAACTCACTTCCTCCGTCTCCCTAATTTACTGATTGGTGACCATTCGCAGCAACCTAGATCTCCCACGTTTTTCCTACAGATATACTCTTCGATGGCGTAAGCCTAAGCATTATATTTCAACCTCGAAAGACTGCAGTTCCTCTGATTTTCTTCATTTTACGTTTCTCCCCTATTCCTTTGCGAATCTTCAAAAAATGACCTCCTTCCTCGCACCTACGACCCCTTCAGCTTCTACAAATACTACCCGAGCGCACAATCCTTAAATATATTATCAGTCGCCTCGTCCTGCTCCCTCCCTCCCCATTCAAACAGTGCGAGGATGAAACAGTTGATCCTGTCTCATCCTTTCGCAAAGTAATAGAGGACGAGGGATACTCCTTCCAAGCAACAACACAAAAATATGATTTCATGAAAAAAATAAAAGAAACACCATTCCACTACCACGAGAAAAACGGCGGATAATCGTACACCGGCGCTCACGTCTTTGGGGGAGGGGGGGGGGGGAAGGGTGACATCACCACCAATCAGTGCCGCTGGTAAGTCGAAACCGAGATTTAACGATAGCAGAGCAAAAGGGAGAACCGCCAAGGAGAAACCAAATTGCTCACCCTGCTCCCAGGATGGCCTTCCTCTTCCTAGGGCTTGGGGGGGGGGGAGAAAGAGTCAACCGGCGGCCGAGAGCGCGTGCCGGTGACACACCAAAAACGGTCGCATTATTCTAAACAAGGGCGAGCAGTGGCTAACGTCCGCCGCTGCCATTGCGCTTGATAAAACCTGGGTTCTGACAATGCTATACAATTTCTCAATTCATTGTTGCCGAGCGCGCAAAATGTATTTATTTTTAGTTCAGGACTACCTCCTTGCCCTCGAGGCACTTGAAAATTATTTTGAAAATGTAGAGCAGTCGAGGACTTTCTAATGGAACCCCCTCATGAAAGGACAAGTGTCAATAATTTGAATAAATTGCAGTTCTCTTGTGCAAAGCGGCTCTTGCTCCGTTCCGTGATCGCACCAAAGACGCGAAACGCGATACCGGAGGCTTTTTCCATTGGTATTCACCTAGGGCTTAGTCCCAAGCATGTAATTGCTTACACACTAGAATGTCCCCACACAAAACTGACGCCACTGCACGGAGTGATCATTTTGTACTCCTACTGACTAGTATAGGGCGCCATTCGTTGCGGGACCCACTGCCTTAACCCGCGGGGATCCCATGTGATCGCGGTTGAATTCGAACATTCCAGCTTCTCACGCATGTCAAGTGTCTGCCCTCACCCCCCACCCCCCTAGACTGGCGACACTGCCCCTGGCTCACGGATTCCCCGCTCCACATTGAAGGGTTCACTGTAGCAGGAGGCAGTGGGACCCGTAACGAATGGCGTCCTTTACTAGTCAGAGGAGTACAAAACGATGCGTTCCCGACACACCTTTGGAAATATTCGTTGATGGAATGCATCTTAAGGAGTATATAGGATCGATGAGGAACGCATACCTCACTTCAAAACTGAAAATTCCCTTAAAGGAAGTAGGTACGAAAGGAATTTTCACATCTGCGGAGAACCTGCTCCCCACAGAGCAATTAGCAGGCCGCCAAGGAAGCGATGTGTGGCGCTTCCACTGCGAACAGTGCTGTGGTTGCTGAGCAGGACCATTGCGCCCTTCCGCCCCATGCGCCGCCCCGCCCACTGGTTTTGTTGATGATCTGGATGGACTGATTGCTGTTGGCTTTTCATTTTGGATGATCTTTTCCCATCTAGCGGCTGTATCTTCCATCTTGCCCATGTTATGCCTTATCAATCAAACACTATGCTTGTTGGCATGATGGCGGCTATCGGGGTTAACACGTCCGAACAACGTCGTTCTTTACCGTCGCTCATCCATGGTCGAAAATGAAAGGGCAATCAAAGGGGCACTATTTTGCTTATTTTTGACGGATTTCTTTGCTTTTTTCGCCACTGATGTACTATTGAGGACCCCCTCGTCCCCTCCAAACCACATTTAAACCTAGCGTAACCGCTGCCCTTTAAACTTCCAAAACAATAAGTTAATTTAGAAAAATCCCTCACTTTTGGTAAAATGTGAGCATTCCTCCAGTGATCGTCATGTTGCACGGAACCTAAAACAATCTGTTGAACTCATCCACAACTAAC